TAAAACAAAACTGCCTTCGTATGCAATACGTAAACTAGGGTTAGTATGTATACAAGTGAGGTTATGTCATTTGGCGGGAGCACTTGGCAGGTGTAGCAGATTATCAGCTGATTTACCTAAGGTGTCAAGTGATTGAAATGGAGCATTCTGATTGGTCCCCGCAATCCAGGCTTTCCCTACTTTTACCTCCTCCTTTCATTTATGAAACCCGTTTCAAATTCAAAATTGAGCACTTTTCTTGGTTTTGGAGATTTTGGGTGGCAAAGGACCTTTGTTTTCCTGTCATGTTGGGAGCGGACTTAATCAAGCAAACTGGCATAATTTTGGATGTAGGTAGAGGACAGTGTTTTTTTTTTATTTGCGAGACGGGTATTCGTTTTTTTTTCACTTATGACATTGTTCGTGGTGCTGCGGTAGTTGAGCGTGATATACCCATCAAGCAAACAATTGATCCGTTTGGGCGTCTGAATCCTTGTAAGGCTGAAGAAGAACCTTGTGTTCTCGTTTCCCTGACGTGCTAACGCTAAAGCTCGAAATCACCGACCTGCTAGAGTATGAGATTCGTCTGACAGACAACCGTTCCGTGCGGTTCTCATCCATACAAATTAGCTCCACCCAAAATGGAAACACATCGAAAAATCGTTGATGAACTTTTTTTAAATGGTGTCTTTGGACCGTTCCGTTCTAGCCACGCAAGTCCGGCAATGCCCAATGGCAAGTCCAGAATAGGACCATTCTGGACTTGCCATTGGGCATTGCCGGACAATCGCAAATTGAATGCACAAATTGAAATCGACTCTGTGCCTTTCCCCGATTTGCATTCAGAGTTTGATTGTTTCGGTAAGGCAAAGTATTTGTCTGTTTTCGATCTGAATCAGGCCTATCATCAGATTCCCCTGAAACCAGAGTCTCGAACTCTCACTGCTCCTATGTACCATGGAATTTGTACCAATTCACACGAGTTCCAATGGGTCTAGCTGTGGGGCCCCAGACTCTCACCAGACTCATTGATTCCATATTTCATGACGTCAAGTTCAAAATTTTGTTCAATTGTCTCGACGATCTTTTGGTGTACAGTGAGAGTATCGAAGACCATCTGATTCATCTAGTAGGAGTAATGATCAGATTGAATAGGGCTGGCCTTACCGTAAATTCTGACAAGGTTTGTTTTGCGAAGCCGGAAATTTCAATCAATTATCAATTATTTAAGATGGGGAGGCCACTATATGCGTATTTTAACCCAAATATGAGTGAAGGATGAGTGTAGGATGAGTGGCGCGATCTTGTAGTCTTGTTAGTGACTAAGGCCGACATGTTCCTTAGACACAGCTGTTAATTAATAGCCCAAACAGCTAATGCCAACTAAGGGACCTACAGTTTAGACTGGAATCCGAACTACATTCTTTCCTTGGTAGTTAACGAATTGGTCTAAATTTAGGATAGTACTGCGGATAGTCGAGTACTCACTCGCGCAGACGTTAATCCACACCAGGGAGCATCGCATCCACAGTGTATGCCTATAAATATCCACGATTTGGGACCTCCTAGTAGCTTGGTTACAGGACGACGCCACCCGTCCCGTTCCTTGGTTATCTAATTTCCCATAGAGGTGTCTGCATTGACCCTGAGTTGGAAGTGCGCTGAACCAGAAAACCTGATAAATTCTTCTGTCCCCTGTGTTCTGCGAAGTTCTTTACCTTAGTAAATTTTCAAGGTCTGGCCAGATCAAACCCTGGGGTTGAGATTTCCCATTTAGTTTGATAGTTCCTTGGCGTTCCCCACACCAGACACCTGAGTTGTCAATGATGTCGTATTTATTCAAGAGGTGGGAGAGTGGCCTTGTTTTTACCTTTGGAGAGGAATGTCCTCTTTTGGGGGGAGAGGTTGAGACATGACTACATTTTACAGATGTCATGACTCATTTTCAGTGTTCAAGTTGTTTTGTATAGTGTATGTTTTGCCATGTAACTGTTCGACGTGTCCAGTGAATCTGTGTATCCCGCCCTTCTACCTACCCCTGCCGTTCCATCGTCATAGGCTCCGAGATCGCGCAATTGAGAAAATATAGAAATATTATTTTATCCACACACATCTACATTTTTGTGTTCTTTTATATGCTAATTTTGATGGATTACTAAATTGTGTGCTTAGTTTCCTTCTCTACAATGTTGTTTTAAACCGACCGAGGATATACGAAAGGCAAGTTTTGGATAATTTTCTCTGTACTTAGGTTAGTTGCCCTGAGAAAATTGTTTCCCTTGCTTTGAGCCAAGGACTTAGGTGAGGTGAACTGTTTGTTGCTTAGTTTTGTAATTTCATTGTTTTTTTACATTCCCCCGAATGCTAGTACAGAAATTAACTGGAAAATGATCGGTTGAAAGCCGCTGTTTGAGAGAAACTGCCCAGTCAGTCCTTAGTATTTTGTCTGTTCAAATCTAGGCCTAAGCCTAGATGATGTTCTTTAATTGTAAATGTCTTACGCTACTACCTTTTGTAACTATTGTTTTTTATGTCCCGTAAAAAATTGTGTTTGTTTTGTCTTGTAAAAAAACTTAGTTTGTGTTACTTAGTCAAGTGATTTGAAATTTAATTCTGTTGCCTTGTCCTTGACAAAGAAGTTAAATTTAGCTGATGTGTTTGCTCATAAAGGTCCCCTGAATGTTTAAGTAAATTTAGTAAAGAATTAAGGGAGCTTTGAACAGTTTGGTGTTTGGCAAGTTTTCAGTCAGGTTGTCAAGGATAACCTGAAGTCCCACTGTTCTCAGTCTCTGATTTAAGGCTTGGTATGGCCTGGACTATTTCCGCCGGCTTTAAAGACCATTCCGATTAAATTCTGACAGTAACCTTTGCAGTTGTTAACGATAATACATGGGTTGTCACACTAGCTTAGAAACGTTTACGGCTGTTCCTGAAGTAATTTCTGAGTGTAAATGGGATTGTTTTGTTTTTTACTTTGACTTTTGCCACATTGAACCAGGTAAATTATTGATTTTGTGTCAATTAGTGATATTTGTCAATTTAACACATCCATCTATCCTTCTGGCAATTTTTTTCTCAAATATTAAATGTTTTTTTTACTGTATTAAGTTGATGTCTGTTTAAGTGTCTTGATTAAATTATTAAATATTGTTTAAATATTTATAACCCTTTAAAGGAACAAACTTCGAAAATTTGGATTTTTAGCGAATTTCCCATATAGGGAATAAGCTATTACCGTAGTACTCATGGTAAGACCTGGACGCGGGACCGATTTTTTTCGTTTTGAGGTCCCTAGAGGCCAAAAACACCATCCGTTCAATTTCATATATATATATGTGTCCATCAGCACGATAACTCAAGCAAAAATGATCCGATTTTGATGAAATTTGGTACAAACGTGTAAACGTACGTTTATTCGAACGAGTTCGCGATCCAGCATGATCAGACCATGGGAACGGGGGTTTACGGGGGGTTTTATGGGGTAAAAATAGGTTTTTCCCATTTTTGACCCAAAAAACATAAATTTTAGCAATTTTTTTTCCAAACCATTTTGTAGAGCTTAAAAAAACAAATAATTTAGTATATTGAAGCGTTATTATGTGCCTAATGGTTACGGAGAAAATTCCAAAAAATTGTAAATTTAAAATTCCCATGTTATTCTTGTGGAGAATAAGTAAACTGTTGTAGTTTGCTTGTTTGTGAACATATTTTGATCTAATTTGGAAAATGATTTTATTTCTTACTAACTATTCACATTTTACAAAAAAAAAAACAGTTTTACCCTCCCTGATGCAGCAAACCTAAGTACTTGTTAAACTAATTCTATTTAACTAAATCAAGAATAAATGTTATATTTTTAAGTAGACATTTCAGTGTAAATCCAATCAGTCAAATGGAAATTCGCTTAGTCTGCAGGTTTGCTGCGGCGGGGGTATTTTTAATTCATACGGTAGGCCTAACTCAGTGAAATTTTGGAAACTGGTGGCAACAGTAAATGTGTTGCAGTAAATTTTGCGGAATATAGACCTTTTTCTACTGTGTTTCTGGGGTTTGTTACTCAGGGCCCCGGAGTAGGACTATGGACTAGCCACATCAACCTTGGTGGAGAGGAAGTTTACACCTTGGCTAACTCCTGAACAATGGCCCCCTCTCCACCCTGCCTTGTTGCCCCTCCGGTGCTTTGCTCCCGCCAAGAAATAAACCTTAAGCTATCTACTGCTAGTTTTGTATTAATTATTTCGTGTAATGTATATATATAAATTTATTCAGAAATTAATGGTTGCCGATGGAAAAACTTTATTTATTGTTAAATTTTAAAATACAGAATTCAATTTATTGTTATTTCCTTTTTAAATTATACTCTATAGCTTATTTTTTCATCTAATTAATTTATTAAAATTAGGGACTCTTGAAAGGTTAATCAATTGTGTAACCAAGACTCAATGCTTATAAAAAGGAATATCCTATCTAGTAATTTATTTTGAAGATGATTCTTTATTAAATTATTTTTGCTAAAATGTTTTTTTATAATTAAAAAAATTGCTGTAAACTAGTAGGTTAGAAGGGCAATCCTAAATTATTTTTTGAGTTTATTTTTTATTTTTTGAGAACGATGTCTTATTGTTGATCATTGTTGCTGTTTGTTTAATTAATGTTTATTACAGCTCGTTTTTCTAAAATAGCGAATTGTTCTTGGACCTTCCTCCACGGTTTTTAATGGTGTTTGGTACATTTGGAACATCACATTTCTTCGTCCCTGCACCTGGAATCACGATTCCATGTTAATTGTCTGGGTGTAGTTGCGAAGGTGTCGTTCACACTATAATCATCATCCGAACCAATAGGCGAACTACTCATTCGATAAATTGTCATTTACCTAACATAAAGTAATCTTTTTAAAAAAAGGCAACTGATAAATGATGAGGCCAAAACTACATAACGATATTGTAAATTAGTAAAACTAGAACAATCCCTGGAAAGTTAGATATTATGAAGAGGGTGTTGTTGAAACACACTGTAAAGCAATTGCTTCAATAATTAGTTATATTTAACTAAATAAAAACAAAGTAACTATTTTGAGGTGGCCATGGACCATGAAGTCACGGCCTAATTAATGCGCCCCAGTTATTATAGGCAATACTGCACATGCCATTGTGGTTCCTGGCCATCATAATGTATCCCTTCATTCCCCAGGAGGTGCCCCAGGAGTTCTTCACCAACCAGAAGTCTCCTCCCTTCTTAGCAGTTCCATACCCGACAATTAACACTGATTGGTCCCCTTTATATGATGTGCTATTCCTCATGTATACTCCTGAAACCATAACATTATAGATTCAATTGTGAAATAAAACTAGAAGCTAGGAAGGAGCTAGCTAAAATTATTGTAGTATTCAAGATTGAAAAGCTTGGGCCATTGCTGTAGTCTGTATGAAAACTTAGCTGTCTTCTGACCCTTCTTGTTCATGGGACTGACCCGGGCCTTAAACCTTTGGCCAGTCTCTAGAGGGAGTTAATCACTGTTGGCATCTTTCCTTACACGATTGGCTGGTATGCATAACACAAGTTAAGCATAAATTTTATTAGTTTCTCGACCACCCGCTCCTGCACCCAAGCGAACCAAATTTGAAGCGTGTTCCAATGATCAGAGGCCGAGGGTTTTCTCATAGCCCTACCTAAGAACAATAAAAACCATGGAAGAAGGGTTCAAGAACGACGCACTGTTTAAGAGGTAGGGTAGGTGGAATTACTTCCCCTGGAATTGTACCCTGCAGGTAAGTGACGTCACGATGATGTCTCATTTTTTTGACGAAAATGGCGTGTACAGGCTGAAATTGTACCCCATCATAAAACTGTGATATTCTTATGCACAAGTGGTTCGATAAAATCCATTTGCATCTAAAAAACTACATGGACTGGAATTGTACCCACTCCAGTTAGAACTCACGTTTATTTTACAGGTTTATTATCATCCAGAATGGGTCAGTGTACGGGGTGAATTTGGACACCCCTGGAATTGTACCCCTTGTGACCGCAAAAGGTGTACGAACCGGAATTTTACCCTCTCCCTATTTGTCTGTGATTAATAAGTGAGTGGTACCGAAAATAAATAGAATATAATGTGCGTTAAACTCCAAACTTAGACTGTATTTGAAAACGCATTTTTTTTTTATTTGACTAATCAGACTTTTACACAATAATGTGTTAACAATATTTTTCATTGGTCCTATTTGTCTTTGTTTGCTTAAAACATAATGAAATCTGTCAGTCAACATGTGATATTTTAGTTTTTCTTTTGCGTACGGAGTAAGTGTAGAGCTAAAGCTATTTTGTACAAATTACGTAAATAACTGCTTTACAGTAATCATTCAAATTGTAATGATTAAGGAATACCATAAAAAAACCCATACCATATCTATAATATTAAAACGAAACAGTGTTTTTTTATTTCACGATTCTGAACCAACCACTCGGCGGATTTTCACGATTTTTGTGTTGAAAGAAAGATAGTTTTGAGAACTAGGGAATGTCGAAGCCATAATTTTAGTTTAGGGTCCCAGTTTTTTAGAAATTAAGTTTTAATTTTTCAAAAGTCTAGCAGCCGACGCTAAGATTCTAAACTAGCTTTTGGCATAAAATAATTTGCTTGACATAACAGCTGTAAACATTCAGCTTTTGTGTCACAAATTCAGCATTTGGATAAAAATGTAAATACATACTTAGGGTTGACTTATTTATACTATGTGTAATGCTAATCGATACGTTCAATTCTTCTGTAAGAGGATGACATATTAATTAAATATACATAGTAAAATACTAGGATGTTCAAATTAATTTTTAAAGCAATCTTTGTAATCTTCGATTTGTTTTAGAGCAATATAATTTGTTTTAACTAACAGCTGGTTAAATATAAACTATGAAACTATGAGGTTATTTTATTTACTCTTATTTTGTCATTGATTATAGGAAATAATTAAGATTAGTAGAGATAATTAGACCACAGTTTAAAATAGTTTAGACCAAAATTAATTAAACCACAGTACAAATCGAGGCTCTGTACATGAGTCTTAATAAAAAAAGGATAAATGTAAATTATTTTACTGCTTCAATTTTCAAGGAAAGATTAGAAAGATAACAATGTTTACATGTTTTAATTCTTCATGGTAGCTTTTTGTTTACAATTCGTGTTTGACTGCTTTAACTTTGTTTGGAGTAGGCCCGGAAATATTGATGTCATAAAAAGAAGATCAAGAATAATCAGGAATCACGATTTTAAATTGCCACCACAACCTCAGCCGGGTTTTATACAAAGATGGATAACATAGATTGAACACAACGTCAACATTGACCTAGGATACTGCAATTGGACAAACCATCCTTTTATGAAATCGTGTTCAGTTGTGGTTACGTTTGGGGGTGCCTATATCAGCGCCCCCAAACGTGAAAATATCACTTTTATTTCAACTACGAATATATTGTAGTTTAAATTAACTAATATGGGAAATTACGATGTACATTTATTCAATGAGGGTGGGTAATTATCAAGGATAGAACTGATAACGGTATGGATAATAAAAATTGACAATTACGTCATTAGCTTTACTACCGTGTTTACTTTTTATTATATTCCTGCTACATGTGACCAGTTCTTTTTTCAAATGAATTTTATTTGAACCAAACAGCTGTTTAAAAACAAACTGTTATTGTTTTTACTTTTCTTTGTTTACACTTTTTTGTTTAGCAATTAATGCAGTGAAATAGGTGTGATGATTAGTTTTGATGTTAGGACACCAAAGTTAAATTATGTGTACTGTGAATTTCATTGGATATTATCGTTTTATTTTAGGTCGTTTCAATTCAGACCTACTGGAAATTGTGTATAGTAGTTGAATTGTGGTGATAATAATCATGGAAGAGGCAGGTATGCTATGGAAGGTGGTATCGTTGACTAGGTCTATAAATTCTCAATTGACTATTCTCTCTACTGTAGGCTACTAAAAACAGTGTGCGTCTTTGCGAATCGGCTGAAAATCTCACTTCAACGCTTTTCACATCGTAAAAATTGCAGAATTGCTGTTTTATTGTAAAATTATCGGATTTAAAATGCATAGGGCCTATCGTATAGGCCTATGATGGAATAAAAACATATTTTGTCACACAACATTTGTTTACAATATGATTTTTCACATTAAAACTGCAAGAAACTTTGTCTTTATATGTGTAAACTAGATCTGAATTGTACACGGTTTTAACTGACTACTGAATTCCCGTACGTAGGACGGGCTAACACCTAGTTTAATATTAATTGTAAAAACCAGAGGCTATAAAATATACTGGTGTACCTGTTGCTCGAATTCAAGCAATTACGAAATATAGCAGGCGTAATTTAAAAAATAATAACAGTCAAGATTTCCGATTAACTTAAAAGAGGCGACTACAAGGTTATGAAAAATTCACGATTTACATAACAGTTTGATATAATCAACATATATTTAAAAAATCTTATCATATTTCAAAAGCTGATATTTTTTTGTGTTTTCTAGGATTGTTTCCCACTCATAGCCGTACTATGTTGTTCATCCTACTAATATTATAAATGAGAAAGTTTGGATGTATGAATGTATGAATGGGTGTTTTTGACAAGTAAACGCGAAAATTACTGGTCGGATTGGGCTGAAAATTGGTATGATGATAGCTCACATGCCCGATTAACTTATAGACTCGTTCTCATGTCAAAAGTAATTTCGGGCTCCATCCCAGTGGCTCTGGAGTTTCCCATGTTAAACTTATGAGTAATCATCCCAAGTAGCATGCATAACGTTTTAAAATGATTTTATTGCATTTAAAATGATTTTTAAAAGAATCTTAGAGGGAAAATGATTTTAAAATTATTTCCTCTTCAATTTTCTAAATTATATGGTTTTGTGAAGAAAAAACATTTTAAAATCATTTTCATAATCGACTGAAATATTTTTTAAAATTATTATTTTCCCTAATGAATAAAATTATTTTAAAATAATTTTTAAAATGACTTGGTAATTTTTAAAATGATTATTTTTCGTAATAAATAAAATTATTTTAAAATCATTTTTAAAATGACTTGGTAGTTTTTAAAATTATTACGTATCTGACGTATAAAATCATTTTTAAAATATGTTTTAAATAAGATTTTGAAATTTTTAAAATGATTACAAAATTAATTAATTAAAAAATTTTTTTTAACATTATTTTTAAAATAAAATGTTATTATTTTTAGACCAGTTTAGTTTATTTATCAAAAGTATAACTATTTACTGTAATACCTATTAAATATTTGTGAAATGGTTTAGTTTAACATTATGACAGGTATTGCAATTGTTTTAGAAGTGGTTAAACTATGTATCCAATGGTTTTATAGAACGATTTAAAACATCCATATACTGTGCTACGTATTAAATCAATCAGCTGTTAGCTATGATTCTTATTTAAGTCCTACTATTTTACCCAATACGAACGAATACAGTACACTAGTACTCTCTGGGGCCCATTTCATAATAAAGTACAAACTAATAATATGATTATTAAATCAGCTGATCGCCCAATGCAATCTAATGGAAATTACAAGTTACAAGTTGTAACTTGTAGTTTATTATGAAATGGGCCCCTGGTGATATGGTCGTGGAATTCTACTGTCTTCTTGGCTTTTAATTTTTACATTACATTGGAAGTCTATTCTGACTAAAGTCAATACATCCAGCCTTTGACCAGAGCTGTAATTCCAATGCAATTTTACCAGTATAAAGCTCAACTCATGAAATTAACCCTAAAATAAAATAAACAAAATTTCGTCGTCACTATTGGTCGATGTCACCGGACATGAACTAGAACTGAACTAGACACGAAAACAAGCTTCAAAATAATTAAAGTTAGAATGGGATGAGAAGTCAACTTGTATTGGTTAAGGCGGTGACACACTATCGATCTTTTCCCCGATCAAGACCCCGAACCGAGCAGGGAGAAGGGAGAAGGGAGACAAATATCAGCAAAATTTTACTCCGAACATTTCCCCGAACATGACCAAGACCAGACGAATTCTACCGAGCGCGGCAAAAGGAAGTTTGGAGAGAGAGAGAGAGTGTGTGCGAGTGAGAGCGCGGAGGCAGTGCCGTGGAATCTAAAAAATGCACACCAGACCAAAGCCAAAAAGTTTCTATAACATAAAAATTATTGTTAAAAGTCGCATTTTGAAAACTTGTCGCAAAAATAAAATATTCTAGAAAGGATGCTTAGTTATATCTATTGAGTTCTATTGGTTTTATTCATTGAAATAACGTTACAGAATGATCATTTTAATTGCCTTTAATAATATTAATGTTTATATTATTTTTGAAAGAATTTAAGTCAACATCAATTACTTAATTCAACCTTAATATTATTGATATAATTGATTTAACGGTTTCTACACTTTCAACCTTGACCAAACAAACCACAAACATTACATCTTAAATGATTATAATATATAACGGCAACATATTACCCAAAATTTATTTATTTTACCAATTAAAGAGTTTAATTGCCATATTAAATCAGAACTATCAATGCTAGCGCAGGCGGCCGCTCGGTGCGGCGCTCGCGACGATGTACGGGGCAAAAATGTACCGTGACACACTATCGTACATCGGACCGTACATCGGACCGATCTTTTCTTTGATCTTTCGCCAAAAAACCGCCTCCAGAGCGCTCGTCTCCCTGCTCGGCCTGATGTCTTGTTCGGCGTCTTGATCGGTGTACGGACCCGTGACACACTATCGAACATCCTCCCTTCGACCTCCCTTCTCCCTTCTCCCTGCTCGGTTCGGGGTCTTGTTCGGGGAAAAGATCGATAGTGTGTCACCGTCTTTAGTTTATAGCCGATGCGCGCTGACATAATGTTTCCTATTTTTGTCTGTCTGTGGTGTGGTTCCATCTACGGCCACCACCACAAGCGGCGCTACAGTCAACCAGACTCAACTCAGCTGACAAGACAACAGAACAACGACGCCGTTTTTGAATGAACTTTGTGTTGTTTTTGTTTACTGTTTGCGTTATAAATAAAGTTATAAATGTTCATAAATCTGGACCAGTTTTCATGTTTGGTGTGTGATGTGATGTATAATTGTATAAATTATCAGATGGATTACCTTATTTGCAGCCTGCGGTTTACAATCACAGTGATTCAGTTCAGTTCGCGAAATCGGTTGCTTATTGCTAACCATTTAACTTTCAATAGTGCAAAGTACTAAAGTAGTCTTGTCCATTAAAATCTGAAGAAATCTTTCATGCGTTTCATGTCAGTGATGTATCAATGAGCTGAAGAAGTTACACATTTCTCTTTATTGTTATACACCGAGACACCGAGCGTTGGTAAGTTTATCTGCTGCTTAACTTACATTTACCGTTGATATCAACTTACTTTTAGGCATTTTATTTTGATGTTGTGGGTTTGACTTTAAAGTTACATTTTTAGGGAAAGTAGGGTAAGCTATAGCGGCTGACTTACATAACCTCTAAAGCATATAACTGTCTAATCCTTTAAGTTATAGGTAGGCCTAGCCTAAATGGCTTTAACTTATTGTACCATCAAAAATTAAAAGTAGGAATTTACCTAAGAAAGCCTATAGCCCTCACTGAAATTATATAAACTGTGGGGTAGACTTCTGTAGGCCTAGGCCTATCTGTTGTCAAAAACAACCGGATGAAAATATCGATCGATATATCGTTTGGTTAGCCTAGTTATTGTTAACTAATGAAACGATATATCGAATGAAATAATCAATATAGCCTATTGAATAATTTTTCATTCGGTTGGTTTTGACAATAGGTACGGAAGTGTACCTACATAACATAAACCTAACTTTAATGCCCAGTGATTGATATTTTGTAAAAAAAAAACTACCTTTGTTCTTTTACGCAATTGTGTTACAAAGGCTATGCCTAACTTAAGTTAACTTACCTTTAAATGGTTGACATCCATAACTTATCTGTTGTCAAAAACAACCAAATAAAAATATCGATTAGGCCCTATTTAATTCGATAACTTAAGTAGCCTATATCGTTTGGTTAGTTAAGTTAGGTTAACTTAACTTACCAAACGATAGGCTATTTCGAATGAAATAATTGACAGGCCTTACTTATATTGATTGATATTTTCATTCAGTTGTTTTTTACAACAGATGTACGGAAGTTTACCCCCTGTAAATACTTAAGTCGCTATAACTTAAACTTACCCAATTAAAACCTTAATTCTAGTGTTTCAATGTTTACACCTTTTTTTTTGAAGTGCAGGGGGTTAAGTTACTTATAAGTTATGCTAGGATTATTAGGTTATTAAGATTTGTAGCCTTAAGTTAGGCTCAGCTCTGAATTGCCTGTCAATCTTTGACCTGAATTTCAGCTTGAAAAGTAGGCCTAAGGGGAAATATACGAAAACTAATGTAAACTGCCCAAATACCGTGACCTTAAGGAAGGTTCACCTTGAAATTGCCTTATAACTTGACAAATAAAATTACGACTTTTGGAACAAATATTTCTTACAAATATAATGTGTACAATTTTCTCAACAAAATGCTGGTTTCAGGTTGAATTATGACCAAAAAATGTACTAGCCTACGTCCTTTTTTATCCACACTCAATTTTCCTACTATTTCTTAATTCTGTGATTCATGGAAATAATTCGTGATTTATCAGCCAAACTCCGCAATTCAGCAATTTTGGAGCTGAAAGTTCCTAAAATGACCAGAAACTGCCTAATTTCAGGCTTAGCCTATATAAAGCTTAAACATCTTTGACCCGCAATATTTTTATTATTGGCGAGAAAATACGAGAATCATGGTAGGCCTATTTGAGTGAGTCACGGTATTTGGCAGTTTACCTTAAGTTAGGCCTATTTTTGTAATTAATTCTCTTAAGTTTTCATATTTTCTTGTTCTAAATGTCTATTATCAATATGGGTAAGTTAGGCATAAAACTTATTCAAACAGTAGTCCTAATTTAATAGTTTTTTACAATATCTTGGGATGAGATTTTACATTTTCTGCATCCGCCTTTTTAAAGTTTCACACAGTTATTGGCTAGGCTGGGGATATCACTTATTAAGTAACCACTAACTCTACCAGGCGTTTTGGCTTAAGAATTATTGATTGTAAATTTTATAAATTTTGTCTCAATCAAAATTTGAAATGTTGTTATTTGGAATATTATTTTAGGTGCTGTTAAGTCCAAGTGGAATGTTGAAGAGGGAGTAATTGTGAAGACCATCAGTGGTTGGATTCACCAGACGCTCAACAAATTAAAATGCTCGTCAGATGCAGGGTGAGCGTTACAAAAAAAAATTTACCAAAAATAAACCTCAAAATAACATCTTAAACACTTGTTAATCCTTTCATTACTTTGACTTTTAACTCATGTACTCATGACAATCGATAATTATTGATCTGTCTACAGCTCAATCTATCGTAACCTTCGTTACAGCCGTTTTGGCATTATAATAACATCGTATATATACACACACAAGTCCGTGAACGTGATAACTTGTGTAATCTTTGTCCAATTTCTATGAAATTTGGTTTAAATGCGTAAGGCGGGTTAAACTTAAATGAGTTCGCGAACCATGGGACAACCATGATCAGACCATGGGAACCGGTTATATGGGGTAAAAAATGGGTTTTCTCACTTTTGAGCCTCAAAACAAAAATCATCCCAATTTCTCTCTTGGCCTATCTTTTTAAAGAGTTAAAAAACAAATAATTTATTTTATCAAAGTGTTTTTGTACGGTAATTGGTAAGGGAGAAATAAAAAAAAAATTGTAAATCTAAAATTCCCATGTTATTCTTATGGAGAATATTGTAAAATGTCGTAGTTTGCTTGTTTATGTATATATTTTGATTAAAATTGGCAAAATTTACTTATTTTATACTAACCTATTAATATTTAACTAGAAAAATACTCACCTAGGTACTTGTTAAACCTAATGTTATTTAAATAGATTTGATTCCAAATCAATTCAGACAAATGGAAATTTGCTTAGTCGGCAGGTTTGCTGTGGCAAGGGTATTTTTACTATTTTTATGATTTTTACTATGACAACCATACTCCAACTGATTTTCTACGTCTGATGATAGTAGGCCTATTATAATGCCAAAACTGTCGTAACGAAGGCTACAACAGATCGAGCTGTAGACAAAAAGGTACCTAAATATTTATTTTAAATTTATCTGTATTTCATCCGTTTTCTGTTTTTGAATAATTATACAATTATTTCTCATTTTAGAGTATGCTAGACATTTTTGGCATTTGGTTTGACCTTTTATGGAGTAGCTTTTGGTCTATTGATATTAACCTAAATGTTGTTAATTTACTTTTAGGCTACCATAGGTACGTCTTCATATCAATCAGTCAGAAAATCTTATTAATGGGAGAGAAGGGCAAATTTAATTATTATTCCTTACAATTAAGTTAGCCTAGTCTATATTTAAACCAGATTTTCAATGCAATTCTAACTTTTTGGGAGTGTTAAGTAACTGCGAGGTAAGTTAAAAATGTAATTTATTTCGTTGTATCCAAACAAACCAATTTTGTATGAGAATGCCCAACAGTTTCTTAAAACCTTTAAAGACAATGTAAGTCAAAGCAGTTAACGCCATTTTTTGGAGTGCAACGTTACTTAGAACCATAGTGAACCGGAATTTCAGCGGATATCTATATTCTCTAGTGAATTATCAGGTCTCTGCTTTAAGGAGCTTTATGGACTTTTCCACTCTAATATAAATAGTTTAATTTGTATTAAATTCTTCAAATAGGGTTTCTTTTCTATGTGCAGGACGGCCCTCGTGAGATCACCACCTAAATCCACAGAGAGTTCACCCTCAGTACCCTCCTAAGAAGACGAGGTCTTCCACACAAATTAATATGTCTTGTACTTGTACATTTTTTAAATACATTGTTTAAATTACTACACAACTTGTTTTTATTTTCTCATCTAATATAGTGTATTGGTGTTTGCGAGCTAAATTACCTTGCTTATTTAACAAAATCAAATTGTCAAATTTATTAAAGGAAACAAAAACTGTTGTCTTGAAACTTTGAAAATTTTGAACCTTAAAGAATTAGTTCTACATGTCACATTTGATACCAAATAATTTATGGTTGTTTCCTGCTATTTATTGTAATACAGTAACTAGTATCATGTGAAAATTGGTTAATGTTAAAGTTATGAACATTTATTTGCAGAGGTAAGCTTTTTTATTGTATTACAAAAGAAGTGTACTGCAATGAATGATTTTGAATTGAATAAATTATAGCTGAAAAGAAAGATAAATCTAGTTCTATATATCTATTTTGTTTTAATTTACTCTTAAAGGTATTTAAAGTTGACATTCTCATTTCCTTGCAAATTAAATAATTACAGTTGTGATATATTATTTATGGAAATCATAAATTTAAAAAAGGTTTAAAAACTGGTTTTAAAATCATTTATAAAAGGTTTGGAAACTATTTTAAAACCCCTTTTAAAAGGTTTAGAAACCATTTTAAAATCAATTTTAAATGGTTTAGAATCCATTTTAAAATCATTTTTAAGAGGTTTGGAAACAATTTTTAAATAATTTTTAAAAGGTTTGGAAACCATTTAAAAAACCTTTTAAAATTATTTAGAAAATGATTTAGGATGTTAAAAAATCATTTTAAAAACATTATATAATTATTTAAAAAATGATTTTATCAGCTTTCACACGCCAACTAGAATGTTTTAAAAATCATTTTACAATTATTTCTAAAACAATTGGAAAATGATTTTAAAATGATAATTCACTTATAGCATGCTACTGGGGATATTTAAAAAGAATAAAATAATTTTGTCAGCTGTTTCAACTAGACCTACACAAGTTGTTTCTATGATATTAAACAGTTGTGAGGTTTGTCCCCTCAATATCAGTACTATTAGTGCAGTACTATTATTAGTTTCTTTTCATTTATGACAACGTCAAATTTGAACCAACTCGCAACAAAAAGCTGCGAAAATAGAATAATTGCAATAATAAATTAACTATTATCAAATATCTACGTGGTTTGGTTAATTGAAATAAATTATTGTTCCGAGGTGAGGATTTTAAAAGTAAATATTGATTGGTCTCTATAGTTGTAATGAGAACAATCACAAGGTTTAAATTTGCTTTGGCATTTCAATGTACACCAGAAGAACTGCCAAATTACTTATTTCACAATTTCAGACAGCTGATCTAATGAAATAAAATATAATATTTTTCACCACACTATGATGTTTTTGGCTGTATTACATACGTTAATTGGTGGCTGAAAGTTACGTTTGCTGGCCATGCCAGCTGTCATCGTCATTTGGGGACCGAGCAGGTTTTTACAGCCCGGGGCCGCAAAATCAGCTGTCCGCTTACTTACTTAAAACATGAATGCATTTTAAATACACAATCAAAATCCATAGCATTGCAATAGAATTGTGTTATTGTCACTGTTGCCTAGCAACTATTTATTTTTATTTTTGTTGATTCCTCAAATTATTCCTTCACATAACCTTAAAGTTGTAGTTGTGCTGACTATCAGTGTGCATTATTATAGTGGTGAATAGTGGTAATAGGGTATAGTGTGGTGAAAAATAGCGTTCGTACCACGGACCGAAATGGTTTTGCAGCTCTCGATCGATTTAAGTTCTCGACATCGTCTCGAACTTAAAAACTATCTCGAGCCGGCAAAACCTCATTTTCGGCAATAGGTACGAAATATACTATTACCATAGACTAACCAACACAAGTAGACTTCTCATCCCATTGTAAATTTTGAAGCACGTTTTTCGTGTCTAGTTCATGTACGTGACACAAAGGCGCTAGTGTCGATGAAACTTTGTTTCCATTATTTTAGGGTTAATTTCTTGATTTGTGCTTTACTGTTTGGTTATATAACTAGGGTACAAGTTATTTTTTATGATTAGATCGTATTATTTGGTTAAACGAGGTTTTAAATGGCTGTAATAACGGGAAACAAATTGTAAACAAAACACGACCTCTACATAAACCGTACATGAACTAACAATAAAATTGTCTTCAGCTGTTCCATAAGGATGAGAAATCTACTAAGGGAGTATGTTTTATCTATGCTATTACACAACTATGTGGTAGGCTTAATTAATCTAAAACTTTATCATAGAATTATGTTTTTCTAAACTTTGTCTATGGTCATATAAATACAAAAAAAGATTCTATCACTGTTGCTGTATCAACCCAGTATCTGCTTTTAGAATTTTAAAAGTGTCTAAGTTATGAAAATAATGTGATCGATAAATTGTCATGGAACCAGTAGGAAAATATTTTGTACTAGGTGGCGTTCGCAGAGGCGTCCACAAAATTGAGCGGAGTCATCAAGGGTTCATATTATATTCTTTTTGTCATACTGCAGTAAAAACAGTCGTTTTAATGCACGCGTTGTGTGTCCAAACAAGGCCCCACTAGAAAAATCTTTTTTCTAGTGGGGCCTTGGTCTAAAATAGCAGTTTTACCATTTAGGGAGTAAAAATCGTTTTTAGCCTCTATGGAGTAAACATCAGCTGTTGCCAACTCAGTTGGAAATTTTAGCATTTCAGATACATTAATCCATTCCCACACTCAACACTGCTCACCATTACTACTTCCTTCACCACCCCCTACGTCATGGACCTGTTTCCCTCTCTTCCAATAGCTTTTTAGGATTGCAGATACGTTAATGTATTTGCTAAAGACAGTTCCCACACTCTGCATTGCTAGCCTTACTACTTCCTTCACCATTTCCTACGTCAGTACGTCATAGACCTGTTTCCTTCCCTTCTCATAGCATTTTAGGATTGAAGTTACATTAATCTAACTGCCACAGACGGAAGTTCATACTTAACTACTTCCTAAGCCACTTCCTATGTCATGGACCTGTTTTCATCACTTTCCATAGCATTTTACTATTTTAGATACGTTAATCTAATTGTCCCACACGTTAACATTCCCCACACTCCGCACTGCTAGCATTTACTACTTCTTTCAACATTTCCTATGTCGTGGGCATGCTTTCATCCTTTCTCATAGCATTTCAGCATTGCAGATACATTAATCAAACTGCTACAAACGGTTTTCAGTTCCCACACTCCACACTGCTCACCACTCCTTACTGAGTTTAGGAAAGATGGGGACAAGGACAGTTAGGGACACGGAAAGTTAGGGACAAATAGGGGTTCGACCGGGGGGAGGGAGAGATTAGCTGAACTAGGCTCTGAAACGACTCTTTTAGAACGAATCGTTCTCCTGTTTCAGTTCACAGAGAGCTACAGTAACGCGATTGACTTCAAAATTATAATTTGAATATTTCCAAACAGTAAACTTAAAAATGTTAAATGTCAGTCAAGTACTGATTGATCCAGGCCTAATCGCCTAGGTTTGCTAGCTTTTTTACGCATTTTGAGTAAGTTGAATATATATTACAGAAAATATAAACGCATTCTATGCAATAATATTACTGAATATGATGTAATGACACATTGTTAAGATATGCTGACGTAATTAGTTTAAAATTAAAATATTTTTGTGATTGTGTAGGTCTACGATAAACGTTAGGAAAGAAATTGTATTTTTGTTTGCACATTGCGTCGAATCATGGTGTATTTGGTTACTTTTATGTCTGATGGACATTTTATCTCTGAATTTCTGATCCACTGCCATTTTTGTCGGAAACGCTTAAAAAGACAATATTTTATGCGGCCTACTCTGGGAAAATTACAGGACTGCATGGTCAAGACTGAATATTTTGAGATATATTTTCAACGAAAATTTAGTGATTTTTTTAGGGGTTCAAATTGGTTTACAAGGCTTTGAAAAATAAAGCGAAATATGTTATATGATATTACCCGATAGTTAAAGATTTTCTGGCCAAGGGATCCTTGGCTGGATCCGCCACGGGATTAAACTCTTTTTTCTTATATTCACTAAATTGGTGAAAAAAGCCCAATGTATTTTTTGAAATATAATTACGTACGTTCGTTACAATTGTTTACAAGGCGTTTTATATTTATTTTGTATTTTTTTAGTTATGAGTAATTTTTTCGTTTGTAACATTTTTTTAAATAAAAGTTGATATATAAACCTACAGATTTTTATATACCTCGTCTGCAAAACGTCGATTGTTTACAATTTTTGCTAAATTACCCTTTGTTACTTTTCTTTGTTTATTATCTTGAATCATTTTCACACTATTCAATATTTATTTTTATTGGTATTTATTGCTCATAATTAAAAGATAATTGAAGGAATCTATTAGGAAATATGTTACAATTATGTCATGTGAAAATGTAACTTAAAGATTGTGAAAATCTAAAAGATTCACCCCAGTAACTAAGTTCCTAACAGTACCTGCGTTTTATCACGCTTGGTTAGAATGTTATGGTTCTATTAGGTAAAACAAAACAAAAACTGATCATCTTAAAATGTGACTATGTAATAATAGCGTACACATACTGAATATTTTGTAGAAAAAACATAATTAAGAAGAATTTTAAGTAGCCTAAAATGCGATGATACTGTGTATTAGGAAGGAACTCTTAAACAACAAAATAATCATTTTAAATGTTATTTAAATATTTAAGCACACACTGCGTTAGAATAGTGATAATTAGTTAGATTTTTTTTGCAATTTTGAGTATGAAGCAAACCGGCATAATCCTGTCACTATCTCGTTCCCACGAAATTTATCTACTGACTATATCACTGATAGACGGTAAATCACATAGTAAATGGAATACAGAATACCTGGAGACTACAACTGATTTGTCAGTTTGTAGATATTTTAATAATCACCTTAATATATTAACGGACGTCTCGTAATTCTTCTTCATACAAAACTCTCAACGGTCATATTCACAAACAGTAAATTGTAAAATAAATATAACTATGCCAAAGAAGCTGTAACGTTGATGGTGTTGTTATAAGTCATACGGCGACGAGCATATACATAAAAGTTCATTGTACCATCGATTGGTCGAGCAATCGATAACAATAGGCTAAGCCCTTGCTTAATAAATCGATCGATAAATAATTTTGATGGATACGATTGTCACAATCGTAATATACAACTGTTTACAACAGCGGACTTTTACTCCCTAGAGACTATAAATTATTTTTACTCCCTAGGGAGTAAAAACACTACTTTAGACCCGCAACGCATGCATTAAAAACGACTGTTTTTGCTGCAGTATGGCGAAAAACTCTTTGTACACCAGCAAATGTAAAAATGCTACTTTACGTTAACCATTAAAATTATACTGGCAACTCTCAATCGTACTTATTGCTTATTTTAAATGAAAATCTATTGTATAAAAATAAAACTGTGTAGCAGAATCAAAACTAGTATAACTTTATTGTAATTGTAAACACCTAGCCTATTATGAGAATAAAATATTAACTCTGGGAAAAAGTAAACAAACAAAGTATAAATAATAACCACTCTAACTATTATCAAACAGGTGTTGCATCTTCAATCTCATACTCTAATACGAGCTATGTCTGTTTGTCTGGGTATCTGTAATATCGTATACAAATAAATAAAAAAAAGTATATATCTCAATATCCAGCGGAAGGATTTTGCTAAAGAAATAATTTTGTATATTGGAGTGTTGTTGTCTGTCTAACGGTTACGGAGATAATTTAAAAAATTGAATATAAAATTCCCATGTTATTCTTATGGAGAACAAATAAACTGTTGTAGTTTGCTTTATTTTAATTACATTTGGCAATTTTGTTTATTTCATACTAAGCTTTCAACATTTTGATAAAAAAACACTCCTCAATAGCTTCCCCGTTGCAGCAAACCTAGGTACTCACTAAAAGTAATGTTAATTAAATAGGAAATAAATGTGAAAATTTTTATTTAATATTTTAGTAGAAATCAAGTCGGGTAATGGAAATTCGCTTAGTCTGCAGGTTTGCTGCGGCGGGGGTATTTTAATTGTTCTAAAACAGATTATCAAAATCTACTCACTTATGACCAAATTCTCACTAAACCAAAAATTAAAATTCTAAACTTCAAATAATTTTTAACATTTTGCCTTAAAATCCTCAAGTAAATAACCAAAAATAAATAACTTATAACTCACAATCAGTGACGTGTTTTGGAATCACTTCCAGGACAATTAATTTAGTGACAAATTTTACACATTCGTTATCGGTACAGGTTTTTTAAAAAAATGTATTTTTGGTTATTTACTTGAGGAATTTAAGGCAAAATGTTAAGAATTATTTGAAGTTTAGAATTTTAATTTTTGGTTTAGTGAGAATTTGGTCATAAATGAGTAGATTTTGATACTCTGTTTTAGAACAATAAATTAAAAAAAGGAAAAAGATATTCCATTGCAAGTGAAATAACCCGAATGAAATGTTCTAAAACAGAGTATCAACATCTACTCACTTATGACCAAATTCTCACTAAACCAAAAATTACAATTCTAAACTTCAAATAATTCTTAACCTTTTGTCTTAAAATCCTCAAGTAAATAACCAAAAATACATTTTTTTCAAAAACCTGTACCGATAACGAATGTGTACAATTTGTCACTAAATTAATTTTCCTGGAAGTGATTCCAAAACACGTCACTGATTGTAAATAACTTATAACTTATAGTGACGTGTTTTGGAATCACTTCCAGGACAATTAATTTAGTGATAAATTGTACACATTCGTTATCGGTACAGTTTTTTGAAAAAATGTATTTTTGGTTATTTACTTGAGGATTTTAAGGCAAAAGGTTAAGAATTATTTGAAGTTTAGAATTTTAATTTTTGGTTTAGTGAGAATTTGGTCATAAGTGAGTAGATTTTGATACTCTGTTTTAGAACATTTTATTCGGGTTATTTCACTTCCAATGGAATATCTTTTTCCTTTTTTTAACTTTTGTTAAAATACTACTCCTATAATGCATATTGCTAGATTGGTTTTGTGAACTTAAAAATGATCATCGTGTGTGAAATACTAAGACAGATATTCAAGGTAACTTTCAAACAATGTGTATAGGTACACATAAAAACGAGAATGCTCATGCTTTCAATCTTGAAAGAACACTTCAGGACTTTTAAATGGTAACATTATCTTAATTGCTATAACTAGGTCAAACAAACTAACAATTTCGTACCCACCTCGACCTCCAAAAAAATGTACTTTGTCTACTTGACAAGAAATTGATAGTGAGTTTATAAGCAATTAGTTAGATTTTATAGCCTGTTATTTGCATTAGAATACCGCACTGTTTTGTTTAAGCTACAGTTGAATGTAAGAACCTTATTAGTATACTTAACAGCTTACATAAAACTTAGTGTTTTAAAAAGTAAAATTCGTCTCTTGAGTTTGGCCACCTCTGTGACTGATTAGAAAACGTTAACAAACCCTTTACTTGAATAAACAAGCTCCTTTTGTCACTGCTCATTAGGACCTTTGGTCAATCTGTATGTTAGAAACGACCCTTTAACCATTGGCCAATCTGTACGCGCGCAAAAAATCTGCACTCTGACCGGCAGGAGTTAAAAAAACCCAGAGCAGAAAGCTGTTCAGTGTTCACTGGGGAGCCAGAGCATCGACATTGGCAAAACACGTACTGTAGAAAAACATGAAAGAGAAAAGAGTCGTGACATTCGTCAGTGGAACGTAGTTACGGCTCATTGACTTGGGTTCAACATTGGAAATGTAACTTCACTTAATGCTTATTGCCATCAATGTTTGTTTATAATGTTAGAAGGATTGTCACTGCTTTCTTTTGGTGAAAAGCTGAGGCGTCTTTTGAGTAAAAATGCATGGCCAAAAACTGCAATAACACACGATGTACGAATACAAAGGAATACTGATTATGTGTAGTAGTGCGTTATGATTAACGTTACCACTCTTGTACAGCTGGAAAGAGATGTGGGCTGTGTCGATGATGGCAGACACAGGTCCATAAGTAGCCACAGAATATTGAATGCCCAGCTCTTGTGTCTCAGAATAAAAAAAACCGTAGTGAGAGATAGTGGCTCCCTTGTTCGTAGCATTGTATCTGCACTCACCTTCCTGCAAAGTTGAGGTTAGATTAATATACCTAATGTCCGATAGTCCTACATAGCGGTAAAACATTTGGCTGGGAGCCAACTTTATCAATGCACAATTGTACATTGTACAATGCACCGTTCTACCAGAGTCCGAAGGCCTCCCACCTAGATTACATTAAGAGATTACATTAAAAAAGATGGGATAAATGTATGCTATGTGATTTCTATTGTACTGTCAAAAAGTTCATCAGCTGTTTATTTTAGATTGTTTTTGTTTATGTATGTAATGTTTACAGTGTTGTGTTAATTCTCTCATTTAAAATGTAGCAGATTTTTAAGTTGAACTAAACCATTTAAATTTGGTTTCTAAACATCTATTTTTAAAACACAAATAGGACTAACCTACTATTCGACTCTATACATATGTCCTTTACACGTTCAGCAAATGCAAAGCTATTCTTTACAGGGTGTGGCAAAAAACTATTTATTTTCTTTAGTGCACTATCCAGCGACAGGCCGTCTGAGGTAGGTGGAAGTAGGCTCGTAGAAAAGCCTACACAATACCATTTTTTAGTCATAGAGCTGGGCGTATGAGCTACGTGTCGTTGTTATCGAGTTATAAGAAAAATAATGAATCAGTCATAAAAAATAATGAATTAAGTTGATAAAGAATTTTATGTGATGCTTAGTTTTTAAAATGTAAATAGTGTGTAGGCCTACCTTTTAAAGTTTGTATCTTTAAAAGTTTGTATCTTTAAATAAAGATACAAACTTTAAAAGGTAGGCCTACACACTATTTACATTTTTAAAACTAAGCATCGGGTTTAAAAACTAAAATTAATGGGTCCGATTTTACTAGTTAAGTTTTAGTAACTTTTGCCCTGTAAAATTTGTATTATTATGGCAATAAAACTATTCTGATTCTGATTCTGACATTGCAACTCAGTGGCAGTTCCGTGCTTTTATTCTATTAGGCCGACATGGAGAGGTTCCGTCATGATTATCTGTTTGGATAATTAACCAAATTAAACGGATTAGTATAAAAAAAAAACTTAAGGGATGAAAATTAACCTCAAAATTTGTGTTGGGGGGCCAAATTGTTCAAGCCGTGTGTTTTCGGAAATCCTTCCCGACAAAAAATCCACCGCCCAACTTCGATGGAGCGAACACCATTACCGCAATGATACGTTGCAGAGCCATAGGTATCGTTGGTGTAGTGAAAAGGGCTGATGTTTTGAAGGTAGATGGTGTGAAACCCACCGGAGGTTGCAGGTAAAGAAATAGACATTGTAAGTGATATGTTTTAACATTTTTTAAATTGCAGCTGACTTTTAACTTGTTTTTGTTATTGTTTTCGTTTCTTGTTTTTGACTCATGAAGAAGTTCAGTTCTATTTTATTAAACTAATTTACCTATCAATTTATGTATTTACTTCAAACATAAAACTGGCAACGAGGATGATTTTATGGAAAACTTAAGAGTGCAAGATAGTTTATTCAATTCCACAGTCTAATTCATTATAATGTCTGAAGATACATTACCAGCAACTCTAAATAATCCTATGTTGGTAAGTCAACCTAGATGTGAAAAATTTAACCCTAATTCATGCGACATTGATGTTTGGAATATTAAATTCAAGGCAAATTTATGTTTGGGCAATATTACAAATTATGATATTAAAAGATGTTTATTCATTGACTGCCTGGATAGTACAGTTCTTAAAACATTGGTAACTATTTGCAAGCCAAAAGAAATTAGTGAATTCACTTATGAACAACTTTATGAACTTCTGGTAAAACATTTCAAACCAGTAAATATAAAGTTGCCGAAAGAGTAAAATTATTTTCACTGAAGCAAGGTGTTGAATCTTTGTCCACCTTTGCAAGTAACTTAAAAGAATTAGCCAGCAGTTGTGATTTCCCTGGTGACTTTTATCAAGATGCTCTCATTGCATCCTTCATAATGGGTATTAATGCAGATTCTATTAGAGCTAATTTACTTCAGAAAGATTACACAGATTTCAATACTGTACTTGAATTTGCTAGAACATTAAGTTCAGTTTTTACCACTTCAGCAAAGAAAAATCTGATTTCATTTTCCGATAATGAGAGCAATGGAGAGGTTCTAAATACAAATTCAAACTATTTATGCTATTCTTGTGACCATTTTAGGAACCAATGTAGATTTAGAAATGCAATATGTAGCCTAATAATTGTGATACAAAAGGTCACTTAGCAAAAGTTTGCAAAATTAAAAGGAGAACAGATTTTCAAAACAAAAAAAATTTGTGGACATGGAAAAGGAACGTACAACCGACAAGTAAATTTCACTGACAATGAAAAAGGAAGAGATTCTAGGACCTTTATCGACTCTAACATACTTGATTGTTCACCTAAGTTGACAAATGAAGCTTTTTTTTCTCTTGGTCTTCAGTGTCATAACGTCAGTGTATTTTCTCCAATTTGGGGTTCTATCTGTATCAATAGTATCTATATATTAATTTGAAACTGTTTTTCTTTGTCACAGCTATTTTGAGAGAACGGCTGGGCGTAGAAACTCGGTAAAGGTGTCTAAAGAAAGGTCTTGGTCTGTAGATGAGCCATCAAAAGAGAAACATGGTGAATTCCCTTGGGGCTCTGCCCCAGTGGCCTTTGAATTCCCATCCCATGTTATTCTTATGGAGGAAAACGGGGTTTTTGTCACAGCTAATTTGAGAGAACGGCTGGGCGTAAAAACTTGGTAGGGGTCTCTAAAGAAAGGTCTTGGTCTGTAGAGGAGCCATCAAAAGAGGAACGAGGTAAATTCCCTTGGGGCTCTGCCCCAGAAGCCTTTAAAGTTGCCTCTTCAGATTTGTTTACATTACGACCATATGCATAATTCTACACTACTTTTTAATAAACAGCTGTTAATATTTAAATTGTGATGTATTGAATTTGTCAAAATGAAGTACAGTATTTGCAATGGGTTTTTCTGATTTTAAAATGGATTTTCTTCTGCATCGTGTCATGTTTTGCAATATAATTTTCTATTGCCAAATCAATGGAAAATCCTAATATCACAGTAACTCTTAAAATTATTTCTTTTGGAGTTAACTTATATCTATTGTATGGGTTGGTTTCTGCCTTTTTTACCACTTCTTGGAGATTGTACGTAGGTGATATTCGTTGGCATATTGCATCTGTAGACAAAACTTGGGTTGGTGTAATTATTAGAATGGAAAAGAGCGAGAAATCCTGGACAATTTGATATATGCTAAAAATAAAACTGAATTAACACTGTGTTCTACATTTCATGAGCAATCATTGAAATAACCGATTTGCAAACAATGGAAACATAGAAAAAGTCATAGAACGCAACCAAGTAGAAGAAATAGAAATAATGTTTTTTTTTCATTCGTTATCATAGACAACCTAAAGGGAAAAATTTGTAGAAAACACTAAAAAAACAAGATCAGCTTTTTGAAAAAAGATAAGATATTTACAAAAGATTTTTATTATATCTAACTGTTGTGTAGATTGTGAGTATTTCCATAATCTTTGAGTCGCCTGTAATGCTTCTCAATTGCTCGAATTCGAGCAACAGGTACACTAGTTTGAATTAATATGCAACTAGATACAGGAAGTTGTGTTTCTGTTATATGTCAACGAACTTGGGAAAGATTGGGAAAATTCTCTTTGTTACATTCAAATACAAAACTGACATCTTATAGTGGCCATTGCATAAACTTGATTGGTGAACAAACAGTTAAAGTGGCATTCAGGAAAACTAAAAGAGAGCTAAAGCTGTACGTTGCAGAAGGTGGCACTCAGGATCTTTTATGTAGAGACTGGATCGAGGAGCTTAAAATCAACAAATTGCCACTTAATTCATTACAAAGTGATTCTTTATGGGTTTCCAAGGAAGTTGATGACATTTCAAGGTCAGGGTTTCAAAGTTCACTTCCAAGAATGAGCTTTAGTAAATTAATTGATTCTAATAAGGAACTCTTTTGTAACAAAAGTGGCCATTGTACAAAATTCACGGCACACTTAATTTTAAAGGAAGACGCTTCTCCTATTTACAAGAAGGCAAGGCCAGTTCCATTTGCAATAAAGGACAAAGTGTGCGAGGAAATCGACAGGCTTGTAGAAGCTGATCTGATAGAACCAATTGACTATTCTGATTGGGCTGCACCTTGTGTTGTTGTTAAAAAACCTTCTGGTCAAATAAGAATTTGTGCAGATTTTTCAACAGGATTGAATCAGGCTTTAAAGATTCAGAAATTTCCTCTACCTACACCTGAGGAAATATTTGCTAAGTTGAATGGAGGAGAAAAATTCCCAGTCATAGATTTATCTGATGCCTACCTGTCAATACCAGTAGATAGAGATTCGCACGACTTACTAGTGATTAATACCATCAAAGGACTTTACAGATACAAGTGAGCCGTGACTAATTCCACCGGCGAATATCACGACTCATGATCAATGGTCAAAGTGTTTTTTTATAGTAGGCTAGTTCTGTGTTTCGTTTGTTACATCCCACGACCCCGAACAGGCTGTGGGTTTTTGTTCTTTTACTCCTTCCGCCAGCAACTCATAGGTTCAGCGACGTCAGAGCCGTTTTGCCTCGCAGAGGATTTTCAGAACAAAGTTATCTTCTTACATCTGTTCCTATGCTTTACCTTTTGCAAAGCAGTTTAGTTGTTTGTTCAATCCTTTTGTTCTGCTACGCAATGGAGTAAATTTTAGAGCGCCCTGCGCGTCTTTTGGGGCCCGTGAGGAGGACTACATTCTGGACATCTTCTACCACGGCGGAGGGGAAGTTTGCAACACCCTGGCTGCTTCTTGTACGATGGCCCCCTCTCCGCCTCACTCGTTTTCTCCTCCGGTGCTGAACTTCCAGACCTACCCCTAAAGTCAAACCGCAACCGCAAGTTACCTCACAAGTTTTGTTGATTGTTATTTATTTATAGATTTATTTATTTGAGAAAAGAAGAGACTCCAATTATTGTTATAGGCCTACCGTACAGAGTTTATGAAC